TCTCTCTCTCTCTCTCTCTCTCTCTCTCTCTCTCTCTCTCTCTCTCTCTCTCTCTCTCTCTCTCTCTCTCTCTCTCTCTCTCTCTCTCTCTCTCTCTCTCTCTCTTTCTCTCTGTCCCTCCATCATTTTCAATTTCTCTCCTTCTCTGACAATGCGTGGAATGTCTAGCTTTATTCGATTTCAAGGGAACAGAAGAACGATATTAAATTCACGATTAAGCTATGTAATACATCCTGTTCTGCCACGAGATAGCTTTGATTACGAAATAGCGCAGCTTCGTAATGACGAATTGAACCACAGAATTTTCGTTTAATTTTTCATCGATAGATTCAATCGTGCGTAAGAAAATAAAAAACCCTGCTTTCTATTTGTAACGAATAAATAACTGTCATATTGGTGCATTTAATCATCTAGATTCTAGATTCTTTTCATTTTATTTGATTCTTTCTATGTCTTTCTTTATTATTATATTTTACGTTATGTATGACGCGTAACCAAAATTAAATATTTTATCGAATAAAATCGCAATGAAACCAAAAATACCCCAATTTTCAACATATCCCATTTCTAATCTCGATCTTTATTCGTATTTTCCGACGCATGTATACACTGTTTTTCTTGACAATTATTTGTACATATTTATTCAAGAATCTATTCGCTTTGTACACTGTTGCAATATAATTTAATACTATCCAAGTGTTAAAGAAACGTTACGCGTTCTACGAGATCGTTCATTTCGTATCGTGCTCGTTTTTAAACTCGATATCGTGTAACAACGATAACGACATAAAACACAGCCTATTTACTTATGAACTATAAAAAAAAAAAGCTAAACAAAAAGCGAGAGAGAGAAAGAGAGAGAGAGAGAGAGAGAGAGAGAGAGAGAACGAAGTGAGAATGATGCAAATATGTGCACTGTTGAATACATGTAAGTACATATAGTTATGTTATGAGTGAAAGAGTGAGACAAAAGAATGAAAAAGAAAAATAATTATGAGAGAAGATATAAGTAAAAGTACCGAAGGGAACAGAGATTTTGCGATGGTGCGTGTGTACATGAATCGTGTAAACCAATATAAACGCGAACAAAAAAAATTTGTTTGCGTCTCACAGAGTCGATACTAATCGTTATCGTTGTAACACGAAATAACCAATTGTCGTGCAAATTAAACATATCTCTGTGCTTGGAGGGAAGCGCGCGCGCGCCCGCACGTAGAACCTCGTCTTATCATTCCTTCTTCCCTAAACTAACATGCGTACATATATTTTTCCAATGCGACATTCATGTCTTTATTGTATATCGTCTCTAACCGTTTACCGTCTAAATAATGCTAAACTTGTCGCGTATATGCGTATTAGACGCAAGCGCAGACGCGCGTCGTATCTACCGTATGTAGAACGATCGTCGATAAATCGCAGACTGTATTTCGTACGTGTAAATGTACGTTGGAGACAATATGTATCGACGACAGGTTCGTACGATGTTCCGCGCGACGCCGATGCGCGAGCCTCGATCGTTTCTCGTACTTCATCGCGTGCTCTCGTGTTCGAATAATATAATGATATCGCGATTGCGTGGCATCGATACCGATGACAAACGGTCGAAGAAACAAAGAAAGGTTAGTTCTCTTTTAGAAAACGAAGAAATCGAATCGGACCAAAATTACTCGAATGTTTGCGCTTTTCGGCTATTTTTGCTGTTCAATGTTTTATAATGATATTTCAAGATTATAAAAATCATTTTGTGATTGTATACTGAAATGAAAAAAAAGAGGTAAGGAGCGAATGATCGTCGAAGAGAAAATCGCGACATAACCAAAATCTAGGGAAGAACGCTCGAGATGCGATGAAAAGCAGCCAATCAAGGCCATCGAGAAACGAATAGTCTCGTGTTTGCGCGCTCTTTTTGTGTACAGTTTTAACGTAACGAAATGTCATATCAGTGTAACCTAGACTTATTTAATATGTGCGAACTCGTATGCATTTTAAAATCGTGCATCGTGTTTAAAAAAATAGCTCTTGTATGTTAAATAAAACGACATTAAATAAAATTGTTGATATGTGATATATTGTATACGAGTGGTATGTAAGTTGATAGATAATTTATTTCTTCACCATCAAATTTCGAATATTTGTATCATAACGTGCCGAATGTTCCAATTTAATTTCCTTTATCATTAATAATTTAATTTTTTTTTTTTCGTTACACTTGTTTAATATATTTTTAATTTCTAACAGACAAAATAAACCTATCGTCTTATGGGATTTTCTTCCCCATATATTGAAATGCCAATTATGCAAAAATCAGAGATTTTGATTTAATTTCCATAATTTAGACATAATATTTAATCTAAATATTCAATAAAAATAAAATAATCTTTTGTTTTATATATCGCGTACATAAGATTAGGAAAAAATTTGAAAATTTAAAAAATTATAAAAATATAAGTAAATTAATTTATTTCTTAACGACCATTTTCCTTTGTTATTGAAAAATGTTTTAATCTTAGGAATCGGTAAGATTAATATGTATATACATACATATTATGAGAGATACACTCAAATAACGTGTCATGCGAATGAAAGATAATTTCTTATGAAAAAAGAAGAAAGAAATGTAAAGTAAAATTTTTTTGTTCAAGATTTAATTTTCAATAATAATTTTTAATAAACGAATTTGAATATACATTACGATATTAATCGTAATTATTAAATTATGATTAAAGTACATGCGAAATACGATGTCGTTCTCAATCTTGTTATAAACAATACTTATTCTATGAATCTTGATTACAACTAATAAAAAAAGATCGCCAACTCGAAAATTAAAAAAATTATGAAACGTTAAAAATATATAAGTAACGTTTATGTAAGTATATATTATATAATTTCTTTTGGTGCTTGAAATCATTTTAAGATAAAATCAATTCTTGAAAATTTGACTATTTTTCGACATTATAAGAAATATTCGCAAACTATAAGAAATACAAAAAAAAAATTTTCAGACAAAAATTGTTTCTTTTCATAAGGAATATCATTTCATAAAACATTTATTAAATTTATATAATTAAAAAAAGCTATAAACAAAAAAATTAATAATTTTTTAAAATTAATTTTAATGTAAAATTTTAATCTAAATAACTATATATAATTATTTACTAACTATGGAATATAAAAATACTTTTTGTTTTTATATATAATTGTATATATATATACAGTGGATATTCATTCGATTATCTTGAAAACTAAGCATCCACTTAATGTTCGGCTGCATTCTATATAAAGGTCCTGGTATCGTTGGTATAAAATAGATTTAAAATTAAAAATTATGATTTCTTTAAATAAAATCTCTCGCAAAGTTCCAATTTTAAAGTCGTAGGAATCTATTATTTTTAAAAATTGGAATTCACGTGTAAATAATATTAAAAAAAGAGGGAAAAAACGAAAAGAAGATAAATGATAAATAACAGAAAATAAAAAATCAAATATTATTCGCGCAAATTGCAACTCTCATTGAATTATCATCCCAAAGCAATTATTGATCGATTATCTAATTAAATACTGAATTTTGTAAGCATCAAGAAATTTTTTGTTTTAAAATCATAAGACTGTTAAGGAGTTCGAAAGTATAACTAGGATTAAAAGTAATAAATTAAATAGTTAATATATTTAATTTATAATTCAAAATATTATAAATATTCATGGAGATAATAATAATATGATAAAAAAATTAAATATTAAAAAATAAATAAACATAAATAAAATATACATTATAAAATATATATTAAATATTGCATATATATATACAGATACAATTAAAAAATCATGCTATAATTTATATACAGATCTAATATAATAATATTATTTGATTAATTATTAAAAATGTTAAAAAATTTTCATTATAGAAATTTTTAATTTATTATCATTACAGAAAATTTAATAGAATATTTTAATTCTTTTTTAAATTATTATTTATAAACATTTTAATATAATAATTGATATAAGTGATATATTGACAATAATAAAAATATGATAAATATAATAAAAAATAAAATATAATAAATATGTATATAATGTAATATATATAATATATAATTATTACATTTTTATTATTATTTTATCTATGGGTTTAAAATCTATATGTTCATATATCATACCATATGTAAATAATGATATACATCCATTTTTAATATGTATGTAATGACGCGACATTTCAACTGATGCAATCTATTTATTACAGATTATTATGAAACAGATAATTGAAATGACAGATAATTGATTTTGAGTAAACAGAAACTTATTTTTCTT